GAATTCGTGATTGAAAGGGTTTATGAAGGATGCTAGCAAGTTGTAATGCCAGTGCGAAATGATCAGGGTAGTTGTTTACCAGGACATCCTACACAGTGTGAGGTCTGCTATTAAATACCCAAATGGACATGCCCCTCTGCTGTGAGCCTCAACCCGAAGACATTCAGCTCCAGCTCCATGGGTCAGCAAGCCCAGCTTCCTGAATGAAGTGCCCAGAGGCCCCCCAATTCCGTAAGCTTCAGCCCAAAGGCACTCAGCTCCTCTCCCCTGGGTCAGCAAGTCCAGCTTCCCCAGTGAAGTGCCTATCCTACTCTGCAAGCCAGCCACCTACCCCAAAGCACTCGTCTTAACCAGCCCTGCTGGTTGGGAAATCATCCATCTGTCTGTTCCGTGCTCTGCTCCTCTGAGGGGGAGCTGTGGTCCAGACCCCGAGGGTCTCTGCAGACAGCTCAGCTTCCAAGGACACACTCCACTCCCAGCTACTGCTGGTCCCGAGGTTCCCTTCTGCTCAGAGGGCTCATTTGATACACAGCTGGATGCCGCCCCAGGGAATCCTGTTCACCAGTACTCGTGGGTGAATCCTATCAGCAGCTTCCCTCACCTTCTTCCCAGACCCACGAAGGAAAAGGTGGTTTGGTTAGAAGCCTCTGGTTTGGAGCGGCACATTAAATAACTCCCCGCCCCTGTGATTGCAGTGTCTGAGAGAGGGTGAGCTTTGCCCAGAACACACCACCAAGGAAACTGCTCTTTCAAATGATGGGCTGCTCACATCAGACCACAAAACAAAGGATGATTACATTAGTGTCTGCCAAATCACTGAGCATTGCAACCTAGCTGCGCTGGCACCTAGCATTAACTGTTACTGTAGGTCTGGTGGAGGGCCAAGACTGCCCTGTTAGCAAGCTCTCAGGTGACACCCAGGCTCCCAGGGCAATGGGTTGGGGACCACTCTGAGAACCAAGCTGTGCATGTGAAAAAGAGGGGCAGATCTTCTTATGTGCCACTTCGGTACTGTGCTGTCAAAGCCATCCCCAATTTTATGCACATATTATTATATCTGCATGTCCAACTAGATAAGAGGCTAGACAAAAAATGTGAGAAGAAAATAAAGGGACCAATGGTCCCGGAGGTCACATAGGAGTGTGGGAGGTAGGGGAAGGGAGGAGGTGTTGGCCAACCCAGGGACAAGGGAACAACAAATGGTTCAAAACCAATGGTAGGGAGGGGGTGGGAGGACTGGTAGGGAGTGACCAAGGGCAAGGTAATTGAGCGGAATTACCGAAACCAGAATGAAGACTGAACATGGTAATGGAACAGGAGGAAAGCGTAAGGAAATAGAGGAAAGGAGTAGGAGGCAAAGGGCATACATAGAAGCTTAAATGCAGACATGTACATATGTAAATATATTTAAGATTATGGGGGAAATGGACCTAGGTGCAAATATTTATAGGTTTAGTAGTAGTGTGGCAGGTGGACATTGGGCCTCCTCATGCGCATTCCCTTAATACAAGAGCACCTTGCTCAGCTAAACGGTCATTTCATGATACCCACCTTCCCGACAT